CACGCATTATTACGAAGTGTGATATGCAACTACAATGCACAAACATTGCTGTACGTGCAATTCCGCTTTGACCGCTGTCATCGGAATAAGTCTATTGTTCAACCTGTAAGTTTAGTGACACTTATGTTTAAGTGCAACTCTCTTGGGAAGACAGGCAGACAAATGTCAGCATGCTGGAAGAAGTAAAGACCACCAGCATTGAGGCGATGCTCCTATGCCATCAACGCTGGGCTGGCCACGTTGTCCGACTGGGTGATCACCGTCTCCCCGTTACTCTACTCCCAAATCAAGAATGGAAAATGGAAGGGTGGTGGACAGGAAAAGAGATTTAAAGGCAGGCTTAAAGTTAACCTTAAAAACTGTAGCATCAACACCGAGAACTGGGAAGCCCTGGCCCTTGAGCACTCTAACTGGAGGTCAGCTGTGACCAGCAGTGCTGCAGAATTTGAAGATGCATGAGTGGAGGGAGAAAGGGAGAAATGTGCCAAGAGGAAGGCATAAGCCAATCCTGACCGGGACTGTCTTCCAGCTGGAAACCAAATGTCCTCACTATGGAAGAACATGTGGATCAAGAATAGGGCTCTGGAGTCACCTATATATCCACCGCCAGGATGCTACACTTTGTAGACCATCATACTTGGACAACAAGGGATCACCTAAGTAAGTAAGTAAGATGTCAATGATGGAAAGCCAGCCTTAGAATCTCATTCTGATTGTGGTTCCTGGAAGTCTAGAAGTGCCACAATCCAGCTTTTAAATAGATCATTTAGGTTTCATCTACACTGCAGAATTAATGCAGTTTAACACCACTTTAATTGCCCTGGCAAAAGGATCCCCTGGTGGTGCAATGGGTTAAAACTTTGTGCTGGCAGGACTGAAAACTGACAGGTTGGAGGTTTGAATCTGGGGACAGCACGGACGAGCTCCCTCTGTCAGCTCCAGCTCCCCAAGCGGAGACATAAGAGAAGCCTCCCACAAGGGTGGTAAAGCATCAAAACATCTGGGCATTCCCTGGGCAACATCCTTGCAGATGGCCAATTCTCTCACACCAGGAGTGACTTGTAGTTTCTCAAGTTGATCCTGACATGATACATAAAAAAAATTGACCTGGCTCCATGCTGTGGAATCAGGGGATGTGTGTAATATGGCATTTCCCATTCTTGTTGCTTTCTTTGCTTCCATCAATACTGCAGTTGCCTAAATGCTTGGTGCACATTGCCCTCTTATGAACAATTATGGAATTACACAGCTACATTATTTGCAGGCAGCGCTCAGCTAACAAAACCTTATTTGTACAAAATCTCATTATGCTTCTGCCTATCTAAGAAATACAGACACCTGGAAAGGGTTCTTTTTTTTCTCAAAACAATTTCTCAATTTATTCACCTTAACATACGATAAATAATTCATTTTTTAAAAATAGTTTCCATTCAAGTTTTGCATTTCATTCACTTCATGTGGCTTGTTTTGTTTTTTGTTTTTCCCCCAAAAGCAGAAAATAACAGTTGCAAACCAAGCCTCCTCCCCATCTGCCTCTTTGTCCCTGGAGGACGACATACAAGAGGAACCCTCTGATTAAATACAAGTGTTGTTTTGAAATGGGACCCAAAGGTTTCGGCAGCAATGGATTGAAATATCCAGCGTCAAGTCAGGAAAGACAGAAGGCACATTGTGGTTGGAGGAAGGAGGATGAGATCCCAGAGCAGAGATGGAAATCGTTAATGGTTTCATCCCTGTACGAAAGAAGAAATGGGAAACATTGGGTTGCTGTGAGTTTTCTGGGCTGTATGGCCATGTTCCACAAGCATTCTCTTGTGACATTTCACCCACATCTATGGCAGGTATCCTTAGAGGTTGTGAGGTCTGTTGGAAACTAAGCAAGTGGGGTTTAGATATCTGTGGAATGTCCAGGAAACAATCAGGGCCAGCTAACACCTCCCAATGAAGGATTCCCCCAGGCAGAAAGCAGCCAGGCTTTGAAGCTGCAAGGCCATTCAATGTTAATCAAGGTGGCCAATTGCTACATTCACACTTGCCTCCAGGAGACATGAGTTTTCTCCCACCCTGGACATTCCACAGATATATAAACTAGGCTTGTTTGATTTAAAAAAATGGTTTTGGATGTAGTTCAATTCTAAAGTCAATTCTGATTTTCACAGAAAAAAATGTTCAAAACTTTTCAAAACTTCCGAGACTTCCGAATCCTTTTGTTAATGGTTTGAAAGTGTATTTTCCTGTTTCATTGTGTGGTCTTTACTTTGAAAATAGTTGTTTTATTCCAGAAGCGGGGAAAAGCAACTGGAGTAAATTCTTTCCTTCTCTGGTTCAAAACTGGCTTCTCTGGCTTGAGCCAAGGCCAGGGACCAAAAACAGGGAAAAGCAAGCAGAGGAAATTCCTTCCTTCTCTGGTTTAAAACTGGCTTCTCTTGAGCCAGCTTGAGCCAATGCTAGGTACCAGAAGCAGGGAAAATTGGAATAATTTCCAACTCACTTCATGAGTCATAACAAAACTGGCAGAAAAAGCTTTGAAAGGGCAAATGGACTTCCAGTTTTCTCAAAAACTTCAAAATCACTTTGAAAAGGCAATTTTTCCAAATTTATTCTGAATTATGAAGATTCTAACGGTACCTAACCATGCCTAATATAAACCCCACTTGCATCCTGACAGGAACAGTTTATTCCTGATGGGAGAAATTGTAAGAGGTTTTGCACATTTTTCGCCAGCGTTTCACCACTTGGAACTCATGCTTAGGTTGCACTAAAAAGTGTGCCATGTAGTTGAGCTTCTTTGACCACTATCACATAGATGTATACTAAATGAACAAGCACCAAGAAATATTAAGGCAGTGATTGTCCTCCTGGAAATAATAAAACGAGCCTGAAATCTGCCTTTGGACATTTACTTGGAAGTATGTTCCTATGATTCTTGATATTTAAAGGTGTTTTGGAGATAATGGATAGAAATTCATTTGCTGAAACCCTGCAACCCTTGTATCCATGGGAGATACATTCCCATTGCATGGATACCTTTATTTCAGTTCTATTGAAAGGATTTACTTCTGGCCCAATACCATAGCTTTGCACTGGAGAATCTACAAAAGGCCTATATATCAGGCCAACTTGGGCCCTCCAGGTGTTTTGGACTTCAACTCCCACCATTCCTAACAGCCTCAGACCCTTTCCTTTTCTCCCTCAGCCGCTTAAGCTTAAGCGGCTGAGGGAGAAAAGGAAAGGGTCCGAGGCTGTTAGGAATGGTGGGAGTTGAAGTCCAAAACACCTGGTGGGCCCAAGTTTGCCCATGTCTGCTATAGACCAAAGGGTTTCCCTTCACCCATGTCTCCTGTATGACAGTTGGAATGTACCTAATTTCTTCTCTCCTGTCTGTTTCTGCTCTTATTCTGATTAATTGCTTAAAATGGATACTTTTCTACTGCAAGCTTTTTTAATCTGACTTCTGTCACATGGAGAGTATGTGCTGTGTGCTTTGAGATTTCTCTCTGCTTGTGTGTCAGGAGAGACGTAGTGCATGATATTTCCCCCTCTCTTTGAAACCTTAGAAGAGATGGTTGTTAGAGTAGCTCAGCCCCAGTTCTTTACTATTAAGAGATGCAGTTATTGCTTATTATTGTAAATAAACCTTTTTGTGATTTTTAAGATTGGACTCTGCATGTTTGCGTCCTAAACTCTGAATTCTTTACAGCCACAATCAACGGCACTTCACATTTTGCTTGCTAGTGAGTTTATGCTCAATTTTTGTTTGATTTTGGATGCTCTGCTATATTTAGGGTAGTTGTCCCTAACAGTTTCTATAATGGAACCAATTAGGAAATGGCATTGATAACCTAGGAATAAAAAAAATGTGTTACATAGTATAATAGGCCTTAGGAAGTTGACCACTATGGAGAGTCTACAAATGCTTGGAAAGTGTTCTCTTTAGGACTCTTTAGTTCCTCTGGAGCAACTGTGGTCAATATCTGAGCTGATCACAGAATCACTCTGGAGGAGCTACAAATATTTATACAGATCTTATTAATGAAACCTGCAAATGGTGAAATCCACAAGAGTTAACTCATCAATGTAGAGGGCAACTGTATATTTCCACAACTACCTTTGCCCCTCTATCATGCTTCCATGTTGCTTGGCCAACAGTTTAATTCATCTGGAGAGTGAGTCACCAAGTTGTCATGCTTGGGACTAAAACAGTGGTTCCCAACCTTTGGTCTTCCAAGTGTTTTGGACTTCAGCTTCCACAGCTGGTAAGCTGCTAGGATTTCTGGGAGTTGAAGTCCAAAACAACTGGAGGATCAAAGGCTGGGAACCACTGGACTAAAATCATTATCAGACTCTAGCTCAGTATACTTCAAAGTTGGGCCACCCTGTTCTCATCCAGGATGGAGAATGGTGGTAATAGGGTTGCCAGTCTGTCAATTGACAGACAAGGCTCTTACAACTCTAATACTCAACAGATCATGGAATAAGATGAGGTCCCATCGAACCTTCTTTCTTTTCATACTTCACTCAAGTCAGAAGGTGGGTATATCTATCAGGGATTGCCACTGTTTGATCTGATCACATTTTGAGGATGATTTGGACACAATGCACAGACATTATACATTTTTGGTCCAGAACGTAAGGCACTCTGGCACAGATCTCCAGGCACAGAAATACTACTTTGTCTCCTGTGGTTTTCAGTGGCAATGTTTACCTCCTAAAACATGTAAGGAAACTCAGAAAACAAGACATTAAAACCAGGACATGATTGGTACATTCTCCGTTTGGGGAGGACCAGCTAGAACCAAGATGCAGGGCTCCTGACAAATCAGGGATGGAGCTCAATGACATTCATTCAGTTGTTCCTCCAGTGGAGTATGGGTTATGTGATACTTTATATTCAGTCACAACTGCTAGATACTGCAGTGGTCATAACAAGCATTCATTCCAATAAATAAGTACTGTTTTGTATAGAGTCTGGTGATGTTGCCATTGAAGAACACTTGCCCCAGAAGAGTAGAGATTCCACATTCATCCTGGAAATATTATGCAACCAAAGAGTATAACGTTAGAGAATCCTTTCTTCTAGTTTGATGCCAGCTATGATAGCTAAGAGTCATGGACTTCTGCTGAGGAACATCCATTTTATCCTGACTCTTTGTCTCCCTTTAGTGGTTGGATGACATCCAGCACATGATTCAACCTCATCTGCTTAAATCTAGATGAAAGTTGGTATTCCTCCACCGATGAATCCAAAAAAACACTCATAGAGTCTTATACTCAGAGGCATTATGTTATCAATCTCACCCAATATATTCCTTCCATTTTCTTTCCTTAGTTTTCTATATTAAATGAAGCAGCAATGGGTCACATTTAGACTTTTTGGTTATCCAGACAGTCAAGATGGCTGATGGGAAAATACATTTTGGGCTGGTTCTGACATTTCAGCAGTGCCTGCTGAGTTAATGACAAAACACAGCCCTCACATTAACAGGTCACTTTGTTCTTTGACAAAAATTCACAGGTGAATAAAGCTGGTGTCCAAAAGTCTGGGGAGAGCCACCAGTTGCATAGACTCGGAGATGGGCAGACTCACATGGAGACTTCACAGAATGGAGTCTTGCCTGTTCCCCTCTCTTCCAGGTCTTTTTGCTATTTCCTTCTTTTTCAGAGCAGCCATCTTGATAAAGCGCAACCCAGCGTCCTGTACAAGAAGGCGTAAGGGAAGCGCCAATGGGATCAAAACGGCCACTCAGGCACCCTGCTAGGTCTCCTCGTCCCAAAGACACAACTGTTTCTGTGGCACGTAGTAGTCAAAGCTGTAGGCCTTCTGGCAACTCCGGATGCCGCACTTGTAGGAGGAGACCTTCCCGGCTGCATCGCGGTTCTTGCAGTACTTGAGCATGCAGGGATACCACTCGATGCTCAGCCCATAGCTACAGATGCAGGGTTTCCAACGATCAGCACACAGTCGGCAACGCTGCAAGTCGGGCAGGTCGGTGGACTGGGGTAAGACCTCAAACATGGAGCCATCCACTCCTGCAATGAACAGAAAAGGTAGAGAAAGTCAAAAGCTGTACCAAAATCCTCCCCTAGTTTTGTAATCTTCCAATTTCTTATGCAACAGAGGTGGCTCTCTAGATGGTTTACATCCCCCCACTCCCCCCGCCCAAAAAAAAAAACTATAGGAGTTCTAGCCCAAAATATGTGACAAGCTGCTCACATTTTTGAAAAGTTAGACTACACATTCTTAAATTTCCCAGAAAGCATGGCCCAAAAGAATAATTTAATTTAAAACTGAAAGAGTTAAAACCAAGTACATGAACAACATGGGGTAGCAGGTTCAGTGCTGGATGAAGACTCCAAGAGACCAGTATTCAAATCCTTCCTCAGCTAAGGAGATGTATTGGGTGATCTTAAGTAAATCACATTATCTCAGCCACAGAGAAAGGCAAGTGCAAGATCCATCAGAACAAATCTTGCCAAGAAAACCCTGTGATGGGTTTATTTTAGAAACATCTTCAGATGGAAATGAATTCGGAGACATGTTTTCACTTGGAGCTTAAGAGGCCAACATTGGCACCAACTAGGCCTTCAAGCTACCTACAACACTGGCACCCAATGCAGAAGGCCCTCTCACAAGTCCCCACATGAGACACAGAACAACGACCAACCAGATCTCAGACCTTGGAAAGGTATATATAGGGAGAGTTGCTCCTTCAAGTATCCCGGTTTCATGCCAGTTTGAACATCACCACCTTGAATCCAGACCTTAAGCAGATTGCCAGCCAGAGCAACACTTTTCAGACAGGTGTGTGCTGTCTGTCTGATACTCTAGTCAACAATTTTGCAATTATTTGTCACTTCCAAGGCATCTTCAAGGGCTGTCCTGGGTGACTTCACAGACTGAAGAGGTGATAAAAAGAGAACGCTCCCATTGCTCTCAAGACTGAGAAATAGAGAAGGATGCTGGAGCTACAATCAGCAGACGCTGGTTGTCATGCAACCAGGTAACAAGCATCTCAACCGCCATAAATGGAACAGGAGCCCTCTCCATTTTTCAGTCCATCAAACTGATCGGTAAACTTTCCTTTTCCATTCTTAAGCAGCAGGACTTCCTACCTTTCTCCAGCCAGAACTTTACGTCCTCTTCCCGGGTGTAGATGGCTTCCTTTGCCTCTGAACACACATTATAGATGTGGGAGCTGAGCTGAGCCCCTTTGCTGAAGTTGACCGCCACATCCATGCTGAGATGTTCAAGGGCACGCACTTCTTCCGCTTGGCGCACTGTCCGTGGGTTTTTCTGGCAAAAAGGAAATCAATGGAGGGTAAGGGAGACAATATTTAGTCTTTACCATTTTCGCTGTAATTTTTGAATAGGTTTGTTAGGTTAGCTCTATCCAGGGAGGGATCCTGATGTTGTCAAAGGACAAAGTGAGTGGTAGAAGCCATTGGGCTGGACCTGAACGGTCAACCTGGATCAATTTCATTGTTGTAGCTTAGTCGGATGAGTGCTCAGAAGATGAGGAAAGGGATAGTAGGAAAGATCTGGAGGGCCCAGAGGAGGATAGAAGTGGCCTGAAGAGAGTTTTTTTGGAATCTCCTGGCAATTCCCATGAGACTGGAGAAAGCAATATCAGAATCTGCTAGAAGTGTGGGCTGGGAGAAATGTGGGAGATGAATGTTTGTCCAGATCAAGGCACTTGGAACTTGAGAGGCAACGCATAACAACAGAGACAGACTCACTTGTACCAGCGGCTTTGAGATAAGAAGAGGAAAAGCAGGTGTGTGAGGAATGATGTCATGGGAGGGATTGAGGCTGGTACAATCCTTTGTGAGAGTAACATTATATTCAGGGGAACAGCTCTCAGTTCTTGGTCCTACGTTTTTGGATTCATGTATTTAAGTTTCTAAGTTTGCTCCTGTTTCTAGTTTCATAAGTGGCATAGGTTGCCTGCCTTGGATTCATGCTATCATGTTTATGTATATATATATATCTGTGGATTCACTCTTGAGACTGTATTTGAAAGTATTTTGGAATCTTGGCTATTTTGGAAATAACTTTTTGAACTTTGATTCTCCTTTTTAGATTTGCTTATTTTTTATATACTCTTCTCTTAATAAACTTTTACTTACTGGATTACCTGAACAGAGAATGTGGTTTGTAGTGAAAAGGTTTTTCAGGGCTCTAGTGCAACATGCATTAGGGATGACCACTTGTGATGTCACAGGAAGTGGGATCTAATGATTTTCCAACTTGAACATGATATAGACAATGCCATTCATATTGAATACACTACTACAAAATCAGGAAATCATATACTTTTCAAAAGCAGCGTTCTCACCCTGAGGTTTCTCCTCCTCAGGATTAGAAACCATTCTCAAAATAGCAAGAAGGTAAAGCTGACATGAAGAATGAACAATCAGCAAGTAACTATTAAAGACATTTATGTGCTACCAAGTGAAAATAGAGGTTGAGTATCTCTTATCTGAAATGTTTGGGGCCATAAGTGTTTTGTATTTTGGGTCTTTTTGGAGTTTGGAAGGCCTGCGATATAATAATAATAATAATAATAATAATAATAATATTATTATTATTATTTATACCCTGCCACCATCTCCCCAAGGGGACTCGAAGCAGCTTACATGAGGCCAAGCCTGACAACACATCAATAAAACAAAAAGCAATAAGCAAACAAAACAATACAATTAGTATAAATCACATATAAACTATATATAATGAGATATCTGGGAGATGGGACCCAAGTCTAAACATGAGCTTTGCTTATGTTTCATATACACAAAGGCTGAAGGTAACTTTAAATACATTTTAAAAATAATTTTGTGCAAATTTTAAATTGACATTATTTGACAAATCACAAAATATTGAATAGCCTCACCAGACAAAATACATGGGATTTTGTAAGGACTGTAGGGCATTTGTTCTCTGGGTGCATGTTGTGGGATTGTATTCGTATTGATTCCTTGGGACACTCATTTCTTTTAAAACAGAGGAGTATTGAAGGACAGAGAGTCAAAGGACACTTTGTTCAAACCAGAGCCTGGGAAAGGTTAGGCTTTGTGCTGCAGTTCCTAAAATGCTTCAGGGAATATGGTCAATGGCTATGCTGGCTGGGGAATATTGGGATTTGTAGATCTAAAAGGAACCTTTCCAAGCTATGAAACATGAGATTGAAATGAGGTACTGAAACTTAAGACTTGAGCAAACTATGGCTGATGGGAAGCATGAAAGACATCAAAACTAGGTTTGCCAAAATGAAAACTGGAGAGGGCTACTGTACATTTAACATTGTTATTGTTGTTATTGTTTATTTGGCACCATCCCAATGCACGTAGAAATTGAAATTTTAGCAAGTGCTGCTTGTTATTTGACATTTCTGCTTCTACACAATTATTAAATGTTTAGGAGTTCTCTCCAGTTTTCTTTCTGACACAACTCTAATCTGTTTTTGCATGTCTCAGGGTGCATCTGAAGAATCCAAACAGTTTGCTATGAGTTTTCTGGGCTGTCTGGCCATGTTCCAGAAGCATTCTCTCCTGACGTTTTGACCACATCTATGGCAGGATCCTCAAAGGCTTGATAATACTTTAACGGACATGGCTCAGTGCTATGGACTCATAGGAGCTGTCATTTCGCAAGGTCTTTCACATTCTCTGTCAAAAAAGAGTGCTGATGCCTCATCACACTACAAATCCCAGGAGTACATAGCATGAAGCTGCAGCAGTCAAAGTGGTGCCAAACTGCATTAACTGCACAGTGTAGACAGACAGTTGCCAGTGGGAAAAGTGGAGAGGACATGCAATGTTGCTGGATGATAACTTTGCAGAATTGTAGCAGTTTGGCACTTTAACTGTTGTAGTTTCATGCTGTGTACTCATGGGATTTGCAGTTTTGTGCGATATTTAGCTTTCTCTATCAGGAAGCAATGGAGCCACGGCAAACTGCAAATTCCAGCATTCTATAGCATTGAGCCTTGAAATCAAAAACATGCCCTACTGCTTTCATCCTGCAATGATGTAGCCTGGCATCATTATGTTGCCTTTCCTAGAACCAAAGGAACTTGGTGTGCATCTACATTGCAGAACTAGCTTGACATCACTATTATTTTTCCAAAACAGATGTGGACATTTCTCTGTTTGCTCTTCACCCCAGCCTTGGCCTCACCTGCCTGAGCTTTGCCATGGACTCGCTGGGAATTATTTCATTGCGGTGGAGCCTGGTGACGAAACAGAGGGCTTGGAATTGGCTCTGTCCCCGCTCAAGTTCTCCCAGGATCAGGGCTCGGAAGATCTTCACCTCCTGAGAAAGAAAGAGAGAAAGAAAGATTGGTTGGCTTCAGAGTGTTGTGAATACTTATTTGCTCAGTTGCATATTTTCATGTCTGCATTTGGAGGTCAAAATTGGTGTTGGATCTCAATCATGCATCAAATGTTTAAGAAATGAAATAAAAAGTTGGACCCCAGGAAAGCCCTCCACTTACCCTACATAGGGTGCATTTCCACGTAGAGTTAATACAGTTCAGTACCATTTTAACCTCTGTGGCTCAATGTTACAGAATCCAGAGAGCCACCGTTTCCCAAAGTCTTGAGCCTTCTCTGCCAAAGAGAGCAACCGGTGCCTCTCCAAACATCAACACCGGCATCAAGCTGCATTCATTCCACAGTGCAGACACAATCCAACTCATTCCCTACCTCGTCCACTATTGGGCAGAGTGGGGCTGCTGAGCTGTTGCTGAACTCTAACTTCCAACATCCCCAATGACTGTCTAATAATAATAGTCATTATAATCATAATAATTTGAGTTCTTATTCGTCTCTCCTCATGGCTCGAGGGAGTTCATGGCTCAAGGTGGGCATAGGATGGGACTTACCATCCATCAACAATTGGCTGTCCTATTTCCAACAGGTAGTCATTTCTCCAGTTTCAACAACGTGGGAAAACCCACTGTGAAAGGAAAGATGTGATCTCAGGATTCCACAGCATTGAGCCGCAGCAGTTACAGTCAGGCCAAACCACAGTGTAGATGTCCTTGTAGTCTCCTGACATTGCTTCCAACCAGAGTTTGGAATATTGGAATTATGTCCATAACTTTCTTTCAGCGATGCTTTCTAAGTTTCAGACCAATAGTAGACAAAGATAAGTTCACAGATAAGTTCCAGATTTGTTTAAAATCCCATGCCTGTTTGCCTTCCTATGGTGTTGGTTCATCTCAGTCATAGCTTCCCTTGTGAGCTCAGAGATAGCTTTGTGTAGGCAAGCCGGTGACCCAGCAGTGCGGCTGAGCTAATTTCAATATTTACCTTTGGAGTGATTTATATGGTGCTAGATCTCTCACTCTGCTTGGTGAGGAAAGGAATGGCCCTTGCTTGGTCTTTTGGTGGGATAGGTTTGGATCAGCACCTTCCTTTAGTGGCAATGGAGTTTGGAGGAGGAAAAATAGGCTGTCTTGCATATGTGAGAGAAATACGAACCATTACGGTTTGGAAAATATAGGGATAATAGGAAGAGAAGGGGGAACACTATCCAGGGAAGGAGATGATAAAATGAAATAGAAAATAGTAATGCTTACTTGCCTAGTGCAATGGAAAGGAATCAGGCTTGAATTGACACATTGGTGTTGATTGGATTTTGTAATGAAGTGATCCGCTTTGCAGGATATACATAAATAAATAATTAATAATAACAATAAAAATGGATTATCCAAAAATATCTACGGTTGTGAGATGCGACTAAAATGATCAAGGGTCTGGAGAACAAGCCCTATTTATTAACTTTATTTGTACCCCGCTAACATCTCCCGAAGGACTCGATGTGGTTTACACAGGTCCTATGAGGAGCAGCTTAAAGAGCTGGGCATGTTTAGCCTGAAGAAGAGAAGGCTGAGAGGAGATATGATAGCCATGTATAAATATGTGAGAGGAAGTCATAGGGAGGAGGGAGCAAGCTTGTTTCCTGCTGCCCTGGACACTAGAACACAATGGAAAAATGGCTCCAAACTACAAGAAAAGGGATTCCATCTGAACATTAGGAAGACTGGGAGAGCCGTTCAGCAGTGGAACTCTCTGTGTGGTGGAGGCTCCTTCTTTGGAAGCTTTTAAACAGAGGCTGGATGGCCATCTGTCAGAGGTGTTTTGAATGCAATACTCCTCCTTCTTGGCAGAGGGATGGACTGGATGGCCCATGAGGTCTCTTCCCATTCTATGATTGGGCAATGAATTTGCTTTGAGCATTAGTCCAACTTTCAAAGGGCTATCCAAGGCGATGAATGCATATATCTCAATGATAACACTTCAAGTTTGGGGAATTCTTGTTCGATATGTTTTTAAGCTTTGTATATATTAATGCCATCAGTTTGTTTTATAATACAGTACATTAGTTTTTTGATTTCTACCTGGATAATTGGTTTACAGTTGCATTGCATTCATGTTATATTTGCATTATGCCATGCCCAGTATGTGTATTTTAGGTTTCAGGCCTTTATACAATCTGGCTGTTTGGCTGTTGTTGTTTTACTTTGTGAAATGTCAATAACACTTAGGAGGATCTATTAATAATAATGGAGAAGAGGATGTAGGGAAATGGAGTAAGGCCTAGCACCTTGGAAATTTCTTGCCACTTTACAGGACATACAATACACATGCCATCTCAATTTGTGTTTACTATGTTATTGCATTGCAATGGATTTGCAGAAAATACTGAACTGGTGGTACTCCAGAAACCAGCACTCTAGGAAAGTGATCTTTTGAGGGGACTGTGGACACAAAGCCAATGAAACCAAGTTAGGAATTCCAACACATGGAAGCAGCCTAGACCATAAAATATCCTTGCAACTGGATTTTGTTTGCAAAAATAAAATAAAAATGCCAGCTCTCCTTCTATCCAACATTCAGCCAGCACTAACTTGCTCTCTTTCTACCTTCTCAAAGTTTCCATTCCTATCTGAGCAAGGCTTCAGTGTTGCTGGCACAACATTATCTTTCAAAATGCACCATCAGCAACACTGGAAGATCCCCTTTATTATTTCGAGCTGGCATGTTAAACCCCAAAGCCAAACTGCTATCCAAACAAACCATCTCTGGATGGAGAAATGGCTACAGATAAAAGGAGAGAAGTAGTCTTTGTGTGAGTGTGTGTGTGTTTGCAGGCATGCCAAAACCAGTGCAAATACCTGCCAGGGATGGGCACCCATATCAAAATGACCTTTGTGCTAACCTCAAGAATGTTTTCCCTATTGAAGCTTCTAGGACCGATTTATCCGACAAAACAATGATGGGGTCATGCCACTTTAACATCCATGGCAGCAGCCAGTGATTCCTAGTAGCTGTGGTTTGTGACTGCTAACAACAGTATACTGTTTGGCTTCTGAATCTGTGGGTTCTGCAGCCATTGACTCAACCCTTATTTATAGGCATGCCCTATTGTCGTCTCCCACTATTTCAGAGATCCTTGGGCTTTCAATGGCACTTTTTTGGAAGACCACTGCATGACACCATTTTATACATTAGGACTTGAGCATCCACAGAGTTTGCTGCCCACAGAGGGTCCTCGGTAGATATGAAGGTGTAGTGAAATTGCTACTCTATGTTAAAGTTTTGGTGTATAGCTCTATGTTTACATATGGCAGATAGGGAAGAATAGGTACAGACAGGGTAGCAACAGCAGAGATAGGATTCATTTGCATATGCGAAGCCGATTGGTCATATGCAGATTAGTTTAGGCCCAGGATGTGAAAAGGCTGCTAGGCCAAAATGACAGTTGGGGAGAGCAGAGCTGAACGTTCCGAAGGGGTGGAGCCAAGGTTCTGAAAGAGGCAGTTAGAGTGAGGGAGTTTGAAAATGACAGTTAGGAATCTGTGTGTGAAGAGGAGAGTTGGTTTTTGAGTGCCTGATAGAAATAAGCAGTTATGAAGATGTGTTAAAGACTTCTGATATAGAGAAGCAGTTAGTTAAATAGAGCTTGAGTTTTTAGGAACATAAAGAAGGCTAGTGTTGCCTTAGTTCAGAATATAATTCAGCCAAGAGTGTGTAAAGCAAGTAACATGTTTGTGAATGTGAAACATTGATAGTTTATTCAGAAAAGTTAACCAAGTAAATGTAAGCCTCAAGATTGCAACAAAACACAAATGTAACCACAAGCGTTGGAGCCAGAAGTTATAAATAAACTGTGTTACTTTGTTATACACAAGAGTGTTTCATTGCCTGTGATATAAAGTACAAAGGTTTAACAGCACACAGAAAGTCCCTGCCAATATAAAAGAAGAAACTGAATCAGTATAAGGCAGCAAAGAGGTTTTTAAAGAGGAAATAGTCTCTCTTCCTCGCCTCACAAGGCTTGTAATGGGAGGAAATACCCCAAAGGCAGCAGATCTAAATAGGGTTGATTCTCCTTCTGTTCCATTCAGCAACACTTCAAGAGAGGAATTTAATGCCTGGGGAATTTCTTAGTCACTTATCAACACCTATCGGCACAGCATCAATTGGTTTTTAACAATTGTTGTTCATTCATTCAGTCACTTCAGACTCTTTGTGACTTCATGGACCAGCCCACGCCAAAGTTCCCTGTCAGATGTCACCTCCCCCAGCTCCTTCAGAGTCAAGCCAGTCACTTCAAGGATGCCATCCATCCATCTTGCTCTTGGTCGGCCCCTCTTCCTTTTTCCTTCCATTTTCCCCAGCATCATTGTCTTCTCTAAGCTTTCCTGTCTCCTCATGATGTGGCCAAAGTACTTCAACTTTGTCTCTAATATCCTTCCCTCCAATGAGCATTCAGGCTTTATTTCCTGAAGTATGGACTGGTTGGATCTTCTCGCTGTCCAAGGCACTCTCAGAACTTTCCTCCAGCACCACAGTTCAAAAGCATCTATCTTCCTTCGCTCAGCCTTCCTTATGGTCCAGCTCTCACATCCATAGGTGACTATGAGGAATACCATTGCTTTAACTATGTGGATCTTCGTTGCCAGTGTGACGTCTCTACTCTTCACTATTTTATCGAGATTGGTCATTGCTCTCCTCCCAAGAAGTGTCTCTTGATTTCCTGGCTGCAGTCTGTGTCTGCAGTAATCTTTGCACCTAGAAATATAAATTCTGTCATTGCCTCCATGTTTTCTCCCTCTATTTCCCAGTTGTCAATCATTCTTGTTGCCATAATCTTGGTTTTTTTAATGTTTAACTGCAACCCAGCTTTTGTGATTTCTTCTTTCACCTTGATTAGTTTTAATGTAAATGCTTATTGGTTTTTACATGTTTGTTTATATGGCATTGAATTGTTGCCAATTTGTAAGCCACTCTGAGTCTGCTTCA